ATATGTACCATTATCTCGTGTGAAACTTTTAGTTGATTTAGCTATTCGACGACCATTCGATTACAAAGTTTTACTTATGAAACCAAATAAATCTCAAGTTGCTGAGATGGAACGACTTGATCAACTGTATATCAACACACGCTTACGTTTCCCGCAATGGTTTCAATAAATCATATATATATAATAAAACAATTGTTATTATTTGCATGTAGTTTCACTATGAAAAATGCAAATTTTTCATATGTTCCTTTATCTTTTATTAAATCATGGGATTTCTACGTTTGAATATTCTTTAAAAGAGAGATGTTTTTACTTTTTCGATGATGTTGTGCATATTTCACAGATATTCATTTTTTGCGTTCATTCTTCTTTCTTTCAATAGAATTTAAAATAAATTTCTGTTATGCAGTTGACTATGGAAGCTCGTGAACAAACCTTCTCAACTGTAGTTCGAATTAGAATATTTTTTGAATTTTCTACGAAATGACGTATAGATTGGTAAGCTAAAAAAGGACTATGACAAGTATATAATAATAGAACCCAAATTATTATGAATGATTTCAGCAACAGAACACATCCAATGTTAGTCGTTCAGTCGAGGGTTAAGCGAGTCTGCCTCGACGAGCGTTACTTGTAATATTTCTCTGTAATTTGTGCAAGAAATTCTCATCAATTCTCTATTGCATTTCAAAATTCTAACCAAAATGTTGTATTTTCAATGAGAAAAGATATGAATACATTCTATTGATACTTTCATAGATTTAGTACAATTATCATTTGATACTTTCTGTCTTGTGTTCACTTTCCTCCAGTTTTGATTTTTTCCGCATAGGTTTTTAAAATATATCTCAAGAGGATTGAATCAGTGTTTATCTCTGTTGAAACAGATTATCATTTGTTTGTTTTTGTAAAATATCCAGCGATTGATGAATACGCGATGGAAAATATTCTAGTGAAAATATTTTGACTAAGTTAGTAAAATAGTATGTTGCCATATTTCATTTACAAAGAATAAAATTTAGATTTAGATTTTTTTCTCATAAAAGTCATTTATTGAGTCTTTGAAAAGGATCAATGAACCTTCATTTAACTATTAACTATTGAGAAATAAAACTTCGATCATTTCGATATATGATTAAAATAAAATTGATTTGTTCTCGATCAAAGTATAAAAAACTCAAGATTAATGTGATTTATGATAAAGTTGATGCAGATGGTAGAAGAAAAGCTTGAGAAGAATAAAAGATAAAAATATATTGTTAATAGATTTTTTGTCAAAGCATTATTTCATGATGATTTACTTTTTAACTATCTTTAGAAAAAAGATCCAATGAAAATCGAACAGGTGTCGAACATATATGTACTACAATACGTTTCATATTACAGTGATACTTTTTTGTGAAAGTAAGAAAAAACAAAATGTTTTTATAAAAGGCAAAATATCGCATCCGATACAGTTGTTGTGATCTTTAAATTAACGATCAACAAGAATTTCGAGTGGAATCTTCTAACTTTTGATTACAATCTCACACCAAAAAATCTAATCCTTATTTTAGATGATGAAAGTGTTCTTGTGTTTGGTATCATTTCTTCTATACTATTATAAGGGAGAATCTTTACACAGCCATTTTTTCCACAACAGATTGTCTTCTCTCCTAATGATGGTCGAACAATAATTGCCATTGATGAAGTAAATCAACGAGCTTATCAATCACTTCAGTATGGTGCTACAGGAGAATCAACATCATACGTGATGAAACATTTTCCTAACGCGATTCCTGATTCACCCCAATCAAAATATTATGTTCAATTGATAATAGATTCCGTACCTTTTGGTTGTATGTATGGAACATATTGGAAATATGGTGGAAATATAATTAATTCATTTCCTTCTCATTGGTGGGTTAATCAAACTTCATTTAAAGTCGATAATTATTTGAAATTTATATATGAAATGATACATTCAAATGATTCTTCTGTCAATGAAGATCATTGGTATGCAAATGTAACATGTCAAGTTGATAGTGGAAAAAATTATCCATGTGAAGAAATTTATTTTGAAAAAAATACACAAATTCCTCTTAGATCAACTCGAGTTGTTCGGCAAGGATGGAAAGTTGTTCAACAAATCACTAATTATAAGATAATATCAATGGGAGAACCAGATAAGAAATATTTTGATTCGATTCCAAGCAATTGGACTTCCATCTGCCGAGATGTTATGCTTGGCATTCTTTATTATCCTCAAACAACTAAAATAGATTTAAATCAAAGCGCACAAGTTCAAGTATGGCTAATAACTCCTCCACATCGAATAAATGGAAATGATACTGTTACTATTCAATGGAAGCTATCGGAATCTAAGGACTGTTTTACATGGACACCAAAACAACTTTCTTTCAATATTGATAATTTTCAAGAAAGACAAACCTTAACAATAACTCGTGTTAAAAATGGACCTAAAACAACTCTTATTCCAATATTTAATGGTGGTGGTTTTGATCTTGTTGCACCTGTACTTTATCCTATTTATATTGAATACAAATTTTTCGCGTCATCATGAATATTTATGAAATAATCAAAATAAAGTTCTTATTGACAAAAATACTTCCTCTGTAACAAAAATCGATTATCATTCGGGCATGAAGATTTTATTCTAGACAGAGATAAATTTGACATTGTCACTGAAAATTCAAACAACTGATCAAATCTATATATTTAGAGTGAATCTTTTCGAAAGTTTTATGATTTCTGTTTTGGTGATTTTTGTATCATAGTGCTAGCTTCAGTTAAGAATTTTTATTAGTTTTCGATGAAAAAAAAAAGAAACACAGAACCTTTTTGTATTCAGAACGAGAATAATCTGATTAATCGAAGACTTTTCTTTTTAACAATAAACAGACGCCTTTTTTTTCTAACACTCTCCCATCCTTTAACGAAGATGATGTTTATTATGTCGATGAGGATGGTAACCACTAAGAAGATCAAGTTAAGAAAAGATTTTTGCTTCAGTAAGTTGATCTAGCATTTCATCAATACGTGGAATCGGATATTTATTTTTTATCGTAATTTTATTCAATACACAATAATCAACACACATACGTACTGTACCATCCTTCATTTTTTCAAATAAAACAGGAGTAGCATAAGGTGACTTTCTTGGACGAATAAAACCTTTGTCTATTAATAATTCCAATTGAATTTTTAATTCAGTTAATTCTAGTTGCGATATATGGAATGGTTTTTGTGATGGAGGCAATGCATTGTCAAATACTTGAATTTCGTGATCGATTTCACGGTGCGGAGGTGATTCCGTTAAATGATCAGGCAATATATCAATAGATTCTTGTAGTAATTGATTTATCTGTTTATTCATAGATGCTGATGTATCATTATAACAGTCGGATGTCATTTCAAACGTCACTAGGAAAATCTGTTTACACCACTCTAACTCTTTGGAGTTGATAACAAAACTATCAATACGTTCAATTGTATCAACACTATTATCTTTGATTGTTGTCTTGTATGAATTTCTTGATGTAAGCAGATATTTTGCGTAATTTGAAGTGATGGTAATTGTACGTGTTTTCCAATCAATATGTGGATTATTTTTGAATAATCATGGTAGACCTAATATTAAATCATAACTTGTATAAGGTTTTATCGGAAATAAATAAGCTAATGTTATTCTATCACTAAATCTATCTAATTGTAATTCAAAATTCACCAATGCTTGATCGCTATATGATTTAATCCCATTAGCAACAGCAACAGAAACACTTGCAACACTACTAGTTGCTAAATCATGATATTTAACAAAATTTTTAGATGTAAAATTATAGCATGCACCACAACCAATAAGTATACGTGCTTGATAATCATTCAGTTTTCCTTCTAAAAATAACAATAATGATTGGGTGGGTGTGGGTGTGGACGATGAAAAGATGGAAATCCGCTGCCATTCATACCCACACCCACACCCACACCCACACCCACACCCACACCCACACCCACACCCACACCCACACCCTAATTTATGTTATAAATTGATCTTACTTAAGTATGTATATATTTATATATACATCGAAATTTAAAATCAAGTGTAGTATACAAGGTATGTAATAATATATATCATAAATCGATCTATTATGTTTTTTATCTTTAGATCGAATTTGAGATAAAGGAAAATGATAAAGGTATATAATAATCTATTTCAGATACTAGTATAATATTTGTTCTTATATGTTTAGATCGGGCCATGTCCAATTTGAATGGCTACTAAATGAAGAAGCGATATATTTAGATGGCATTTGGAGTTGTCGATGATCAGCTGCTGAGAAGAGTGAGTTACACGTGTGGCACATTCCAGAGTGTACGATATGGACGCGCTACAATTTTCGCATCCTGAAAAGTGAGCGTTTTGATGTCTTTTTGTTAGTAGCCGCATGATGACAATCGTGAGCTAGGCGTGTCTCGAAAATTAATATAAGTATACTTTTGAAATAGTGTAGCATTTGAAGGATGTGAAGTGCATTCTAAGATGAATTATAGCGTTTTCACGAAGCGGTTTAATGGTCACATGACGCTGACAATCGTGGTTCCCGATTAGGGGTGGGGGTCGGGGTCAGAACCTCTTTAAAATGAAGTCGAATGCACGTTTGAAATTATAAAAAATGTAAACTGAAAAATGTGTACAGATAGAGATTCAGCGTTTTCATGCCTAATTTTACTAGTCGGTTTACGTGCACAATCGCGGTTCCTAATTGCCATCCAGAAACGCTAAAAATACATAGACAAATGTGCGATTAGTTTTTATCTACAGTTTATTTTACAAAAGAAGTAGGCGTTTTTCGTGCATAATATTAAACGCTGGTAAATATTTCGCCGTTTTCATGTTTTTCTTTTTGAACGATTCCGGGTCATAAACGGGAATTGTGATTAGCATCCGAAAACGTTTACGATTTTTATAGTGTTTAAACGCGTTTTCTGATTTTTTTGCTTGACTGGGGATAAGTGATGTTTGGTAATATAAAATGCATAATCTTTATTAAGATTACAAAATGGTGAGGGTGTGAATAGACATGAAAACCAACAACCACACCTCAAATCTTTTACTTACACAGCTACACTCACACCAATTTTTTGTGCATCGTAGTTCATTCCGACTCTTTATAAAATGTTTTTATTGATCCAAAAAAAAGTTGAAGGAAGTGATAAATTAAGAGAAGAATGTTTACTGTTGCTCGTTATTTAGCTTGTGTCTGTTATAAAATAGACAATCAATCAATCTGACTATCATAAAAGAATCGAATATGTTCTTTATTCTTCAATAATCGATGTGGTTTGACTTGAACGGGACTGACATGATCGGTCACTAATATTTTTTGTAAGAACATAGAAAATGTTCCAGGTCGAACCAGAATAGAACGAAATGAGCCAAGTTTTTCAGCATTACGATGATCTCTATAGATATGGTTTGATTGACAGAGTTGTCGTTCAATTTCCGATAAAGCGTCTTTATTTTGCAATATTGGATGTTGTCTATTGATTGCTTTATTTTCATGATGAGAATTTGGGTCAATCAATTCTAAGAACATAACATATCGAGTTGGAAACATATCTAATTGCGGATATAGTGTAAAATCACAAATATCAACATCAATATTTTGTTGTTTCCATATTTGGACAGTTTGACGAAGAGCGTCCAGCAAGTGTTGTTCAGTTGTATTTTCTCCACCTACATTAAGAAGGTTTCCAGCACGATATGCAACAGATATGAGTGGTATTCGAGTCAGTTTTATTTGTTCAGATGGTATTGGAACTGTATCATTATGTTGAGACAAGAGTCTTGTACATGTGACTACGTCTCCCAATCGATATCGCATCAATCCAGATTCAGTAGTACAAACTAATTCATATCGACATCCTGGCTCAATCTCGGAAATCAGTAGAGTCTTTGGTTGAGGCTGCAGAAAAAAATATAAGAACATTATGGTATGAAGTAAAATTTCCATGTAATGATGATAACAATAAACTCTTGCAATAATCTTAGGAATCGATATCATGTTCGACTATCAGGAGACAAAATGAAAGCATATCTCATTATGTATTAAAAAATTCCTTCAAGTTTAATATATTGATTTTTGAATACTATGTTAGTAGATTGGTTTGCTTATGTTATTGAACAATCGTGGGTGATCGTATTGCATAATATTCTTACTGGCCAATTTCACTGGGTTTCGACAACTAAAACCACAAGCGTCTTGGGATCAGTCGAAAGTTATTTCATTTTGTAGATCTTAATAAGTTATATTTACAGTAAAAAGATCAGCTTTGAATATTGTTCCAGTGAGGAGTTTCAAAATCCATAGGTTTAGCTGGAAAAATTCATTCGATGAAAAAAAGCGAAAAAAATTCGAAATTTAATATATTTGGTTGTGTTTACTTTTTCGACATAGAATGAGCGAAAAACAATTGCAACTATATATTTTTGTTCCTTGCGATCTGGTGCATCTTCTCATATAAAACCTTCTATATTTCATTAATCTAAGAATAATTCTCATAGAATCATTCTGGTTACCACCTATTGCAAAGTGAGGGCGCTCAAACTCGATCCTCAGGAAGTCGCTTAAGATGGATTCCTAAATTTTGTGACTTAGCGAGCTTTGTAGAGGAGACTTTGCTCTATCAGGCTCTGTATGTAGAACTTTATTTCAACTCGAAATGATCAAAATATTAGCGTTGAACTTTTGTAGAAAATGCTAGCCCTGACTCAAGCAAATCTATAGCTTTATGGATTCTTCTGGAAAATATTTATTCTTATCGATAACCAAATTTAATAAAAACTCAATTATTTTACATTAGAAAACATCTTT